ATGGCCTGAGAGGGCCAAATTGCAATGAATGATAAACCAACCCTCTTCCTGTGTGAACTGTACTCACTTACTGAGATGGAAGTCCAACTTTGAGCCCCTGCCCAAATTAAAGTTTAAAGTATCCCAGATCAAGGAACCTTAAATAATCGTCCCCCTCTTCCTGAAAGCTCCCATTATTTGGATAAGGAGAAAAGAACATTGTAGACATCCTCTCATCATCATTTTAGCTTCACAAAAACTGAAGAGGTAGGTTAGGCTAAACAACAGTGACTAGCTCAAGGTTACTTAGTGAATTTCATGACTGACTGGGGATTTGAACCTGGGCCTCCTTAATCCTAATTCAACAGTTTAATTATTTTTTCACATTGGCAGGTCCAAACTTCATCCTAGAACAACAGTTCAGCTATATTCACAACATGCTAACCCATGAATTATTCCAGAGGTGTGGGTCTGTAGGACACATCAAACGACAACCTCACCAGTTGAGCTTACATGACAGATAAACTGGTTTAAATAAGAGTGAAGACAAATCTGAAGATCTGAGTTAATGGTTTTGAAACTAGGATTCATCAGACATTTATGTGAGGTTTTAAATACTGGTTTCCTCTCATTATTATCTGGTTTTCTTTATTTTTTTAAAAGAGAAATAAGGGCAGTTCAATCCAAAAACAACGAGAGGAAATCAATAATTAAAGGCATTTTTGTCCCTTCAGACATGCACTGTACAAACACAGAAAGGAACTAACACTGAGCTATTAAGACAAGCTATTCAAGAGAAAATTAATGGACTATTCATTCCTAATCCCTTAACAGCATTTTCAGGAAGCAATAAGACAGGCTGAAGTAAACAAGAAAGTTTTAATTGACATTGTTGAGTATCTCTCCAGTCTAAAACTTTCTTATGAGTAAAGAAGAACCTTGGCCAGTGATAATATAGCACTATACTAAATACTTGAGATTGTTTTAATTCTAAATGTTGGAAAGCAGAGCAAACTGGCCCTGGGATCAAAGCAGTTCTGCATATCTGTCTAAAGCAGTGTTTCTGAGCCTTGTCATGTTTAAGATGTGTGGACTTCAACTCCCGGAATTCCCCAGCCAGCATCTTAAAGTTGACAAGGTTCAGAAACACTGGTGTAAAGCATTATTTTAGAGTCCCCAAAGCTGAGTTTGAAAATGTCTCTGTTTCTCTTAGGAGATTACGTCCTCTATTGCTCCCTCAAGGTTTTGCATTAAGAAATTAAGAAATGAAAAATGCAATATCCCACCAGCCCCCCAAAAGAAAGGGGTGAAAGTGGGGGTCATTAGCCCTTGGTATGACTTTGGGGAGCGGAAAGGTGGAGCGTGGGATTGGGAAGGAAAGGAATGAAGCAGGAATGAGCCCAAGATGGCTTTAAACTACAAGTTCATAATCTGGCCCCTCTGAGGAAAAACAGAGGGTAAATTGAAGCACCCCATATTATAGGCTGATCCTGCTGTATGTACAGTTGTACAAAATCCATCAGGGAAGGGGGGGGGAAGACAGATCACCAGTGTAGATTATTCTGAAATGGACAAGGACCCCTAACCTTGTCCTGTTACAAGAGACAGTATTAAAATACTATCAAAGATTGAAGACATATTGGTGCAGATAATAAAGTGATAAAAATGAAGTCTTGGAACAGACAAACAAAATCCACTTAAGAAATGGATGAACCATGAAATGGTGATGTTTTCCAGTCCTTCAAGATTGCTTTTGTTTCAAGTCCTGACCATGTTCTGGACTTATTTATTTTGGACCCAATTTTATCAGCAAAATTGTTTTCCCACTGAAGCTCCAAAGCCAAAGGTTGAGGGGTGCACAGGTATAAATATAAATCAATATATCAATGTTGATTTCTTCTAATGCAGTGATCTCCCCCTCTTGGTTTGGCAGTCTTAATCAAGATTAAGAAAAACAGTGGTTTTGAAAAAACATTTTTACATGGGAAAAAAAATCATTCTCCCTCAAACCAGACTTATACATTTAAAAATATTTTCCAACATTTTAAACAAACCATGTTTATACTGTGAACTCATTCCTTTCACAAAGGTGGGGAAATGAGAAGATTTAAACGATGACTGCATACACCATAACATTACACCAACATGTAGCACTGTGAGGAAAAGACAAGTAATGTTCTCTCTTCTGTTCCATTGCCTCTATCTTTCTCTTCATTTGGCAAAGTGAATTACACAGTTTGTCTGCTTCATACATAATTATGTCGTTTGGCCACTCCTGACTTAGTGTTATGTATGAATTATGCCATTATCATAGCTAACAATTAAGTGCAAATATAACTACTGTAATTTAGTATGCCATCCAAGCATTAAATTCTAGTGAGTGAAAATAAAGATAATAAACCATGGTCTAAAGCTGGCTTGTCTGCAATAAATGTAGTAGGAACCACAATTTGTCTCAGCTTTGAAAATAACGGCAAACTGTGGTTAATCTAAAAGAGAAACAAACAAGTCTGAAATTATTCTAGCAGCTGCTCTGAAGGGAAAGAGTGGGATGGAAGAGAGGTTGATAGCCCAAAAGCCATGTGGGCTCATATTGCTGAAATATGGTTCAGTGTTACATCTGAAGTAGCCCATATTTTCAATAAGGGAAAAGAAGAGTCATTCCCAACACTGGACAGTGATCAATCTACAAACCCTTGTGTATCTTTCTCCTGCATTAGAAATGCATATGAGAAGAACAATGATGATTAAACTATAAATTAAAATTAAACTATAAATTAAAATTAAACTATAAATTTAAATTAAAATTGTGATCTCAGTGTCTGCCCAAGATCTGCTTAGGGAAAGCTTGACTATGAACGTTTAAACTAATGAGAGTAGTGGCTGAAAATAAAACTTCAACCAAGCTACAATTCTTTCAGCTAAATTATCCACAAAGTAAAACATATATTCCAAAGGGCTAATTTAAGGCTGGGGGAGGATTCTATTTTTAAAAATCATTTTTATCTTCCACATTTTCATTCTTAAAGAAACACAGTGACCCACTGAACGTTTGCCATACTTTTTATGTCTCTTTGTTGCTTAAAAAAGAACTGATCTTTCAAAGAATATAATATAGAGTGGATTTTTTAAGCATCCTGAGCATCACAGAGGATGGAGGGTTGGAGAGAAAGCAGGTAGGGCTTGGATGGAGGAAGTGTATTTGTAATGATTGCGTTTGAAATATCAGAGAATTTAAAAACTGCACTCACAGAATCAATATGGACGGATATCCCCTGTAATGGGAAGGTAAATAAAAAGCACTAGAAAAATTGATGGAATGCGAGCAATATATAAAGATATGTACAGCAGAATGGAGTGGACTTGATTGTGCCCTAGGTCCTTATCATCAGAGTTATGGACACATCATAAAGTAGGGATCGAATGTGAGTGGCAAAGGGCTGTGTATTATATAATACTCCAGTTCCTCCACCTTCAGCACTGACCAAACTTGTTACTGGAGGCAACAAGGTAAGATGGCCACCATTCCCATTTTGAAGCACATCTGGAAGGAAGGGGAAGGGAGGGGTCTCATCTATTCACTTTACCGCTGTATGAGCAAAGTGATGGTTAAGTCATCAGAAGATCATAATAATCTTCATCTGTGCACCACTAAGGACAGATGTTTCCAACAAAGGTGCTGATTTGAACCAGGTCCAAGATGTTAACCAGCCCCAAAAGATGAAGCCCCATAGAGATGGCTTCATGCAAAGTGGATGAGCTCAAAACAGTCAGTGATGTCAACAATGATGAGTGAGGTGTACAGTGATGAAATCACCAAAAGTCAACATCATTGCCAAATCTGGCTACTTTGAAATCTGTAGCTATTGGCTGAGTCCATTGTGCTGAAATCATCAAAATGTGACAGGCACAGGAACCTTGATAGCATTCTTATTTATCAAGATTGGCAGTACGATCATGAAATGTTGACATGGCCTCTTCCAACATCAACATGACTGATTTTGCCCATCACCATACAATACCTACATAACTGACTTTATCAGTCCATGTGATGCCCTACAGTGTTTTATCACAACCAGTATACTGACAAACCTTTCTCTCCATTGACAACATCTACCACTGACAAGTCAGCGTTGATGTCATCAAAAGTCCACAGTGTTGATACCATCAAAGGCTGATGGTGAGGGCATCAAAGGTCAACAAGACCCACAGCGCTTATATGAACTGCAGCTGACAGAATCCACAGTGTTGACACCATTGATGGTGTCGATGGTGTCAGTTGGTCAATGGAGCGTCCACAAAGATTGGCAATGCTCACAGCGCTTAGAGTAATAAGAGGCAAAGGGTGCCAACCTCATAATAAATCCACAAGTGATGTCTTCAGTCTTCAAAAGTCTGAGACAAGGCCCAGAGCAATGATGCCATCAAATGTTGATGGACAAAACTAGTATTGTTATCAAAGGTTGATGGGGCCTGGTAACTGATCTTATGCAAAGCTATCACCAAGGCTTTGGAAGGATCCATAGGCCTGATCACTGAAAATCAATTCAGCCTCGATGTCACCAAATCTGGATAGCAATAATGTCAACAGACACAGGAAGAGATAGTAGCAGCATTAATTGTATGAACCCGACTAATTTTGCCATCTTCAAAATTTGACTAATACTGCACAATTGATGCCCTCTAAGAAACCAAGCAGGTCTTGATATAATCACATCTTGTTATGAGCCACAATGCTGATATCATTAAATATCAGCAGCCAGTATCATCATCAAAGATTGTCAGGACCTGGCAGGTCAAATGGACATAATCAAAAGTCAGTGAAGACTGTGATAGTACCATTAGCAAAGACCAGGCTAGGACTTGACATCAACCAAGATGGAGGCCATAGGACTAAAAATAGGGGGGAAAGCCCCAAGAAAAGATAGTGAGCACCAAATAAAGGGTGGGTGGATCAGAAAAGGGGAGAGAATTATGGCCTTGGAAAGTCCAATCAACCTGAGTTGGGGAATAGGGACAACTCACACCGTGACCTCATTCTTGCTGCCAGTAGGAAGGTGTTGGGTTGGGTGATGCCCCGGGATGAACTGAACTTGATCAATGGTGCTTTGCCTCTTGGATGCAAAGCCTTGGCGCCGGGTGGCGGCAGCCTGGTTACTACTGGCCTCCCAAGGAGCAGTTGCCTTGGGGGAATTGTTGGAGGTGGGGTGAGAGTTTTTCATCATCATGTGATGGTGGTCAAGCATGGGGGTGCTGCTGGCACAGACATTGGTCTGAGAAAGAGCCTTCTGATGGCCCAGGTGCATCTCCTGGAAGGGACCCGTGTGTTGATGGAGACGCTCTGGAGAAAGCAAGTGCTCCTGAGAATGCAAGTTTTCCCGGGAGAGGAGGTGCTCGTGAGATATGACACGCTCTCGTGGAATGGTGTAGTCGTAATGGGATGGGCGGTAGCTTCCCCCTCCACTTCCACCGTCTGAAAGGATGTGTTCTTGTGACATGACACGCCGTGGATTGTGTGATTTCTCAGAGTAGCCATCCCTATCATAGTTCATCTTCATGGCGTGTAAGGGCAGCGTCCCTCGGGTCAGCTCAGCAAGGTGCCTCCGCTTGGCATAGAATTCATCCAAGTCCTTCTCAGCTGCTGAGCAACAGGGAGAAAAATCGAGATGTCAGTGGATGACGGGGAGGCGGACAGGTGAGATTAACAAACAGGAGAAAGGAACATTAGGGAAATCGATGGATGGACCCAGGTGGCTTTGCACTGTATATTTAGTGCAGAACTACCACATCCCCCAGCATGCATTTTAAGGAGCACGAACACAATCCCACATCCAATCAATGGCATTCTTTCAGTGTTTCTATTCTTTCTCAGATTGCAGTAGTTGCCTTCTTTCAGAAGGAACAATCTCAGAGATAAAGATCCCTTTAGAGAGCAGGAGGGTGCAACGTCTTCTTGGCTGAAGGCCCCACTTGGCTTTTGAATGCTGTGCCAGAAGCTACCGTGCAGAAAGCAGTGGCTAGATCAAACCTGATTTGATTTCATTTCATAGTAAAACAAAATTAAAATGGAATAATTTAATGATTTCTACTGTCTGTCACATTAATTACAATTCGATAACAGTTGCCGGAGATCTCTGGGGATTGCATCTAAGATTTTCTGGAGCTGCTTGTAGTTCTGGAGCCTTACGCTGTACTCTAATGCTTTAGGATTATCCTTCCATCCTACAGCTTAGATCTGAAACAGATCATACTTGATGGCCACATTAAATGTGATTGAGAAGCTTTATGTATTTATCTACTGGATTGTTCCATTCATGTATAAAGATCAGCAATCTAATACCAATCTAGTGAGGCTGAAATCTTGGTAGGACTTCCTGCATGCCCATTTTCTCCAGTCTACTCATTCACTATATGACCCCAGCTGTGAGTTAACTGGTGGCAGTCAACTGCTCTCTTTGGAAACATCCCATAATGCCATGGAGCACCAAATGTAGAGTTTTACAGGGGACTGTAGAAAGTTAAAACAGTGGCCAGAATGTCTAAATTCAGAGGTCAAGATCTCCTCAAATGCAGCTGTTACTGAAAAGTTAAAGAAGCAAATCTATTTTCCTTTCCCACTTCATCTTCCTGAGTTCCATCACTAGCACAGGGAGAACGAGGAGAAAATTGTTTGAAACAATGGATCGCAGAGAAACATACTGGGCATGTGTGTGTGTATTCTTCTCATTTATAGTTTTTTTGTTATGAAAAAGAGACACCCACATGCACCCTACACATGCACACTCTTTGATTTAAATCTGAATGGCGTAATTTATGATATGTATATGGTTCAGAATGCCCACTGGCATGATAAATTATGTTTTCCTTCTACACAAACGGCCCAGACAAATCACAAGACTATCTTCAGAGAACCTCAATGTGGCAATTTAAGCCTCATGTGCTAAAGTTCTAAGACCGTGGAGAAATAGGACCTAAGGACACAGAAGTCAAAGATTCTGAGATTTTGAAATAAGTATGTAGGTGAGAGGAAATATGCTTTATCACTTATTAAAAGCTACTAATCCCAAGGAATAGTCTTGCAAGACAGTTTGTCACCCTCCTCTTTTTTTTTTAAAAAGTCTCAGTTCCTTTTCTAAATAATTCAACTTACCCAAGCGTTTGAGCGAGGAGTAACGGTTGAGTTCTGACTTGATGGCTGACTCGTAGGATGGAGGCAGATGGGAGAGGTTGTGAAATGAACGAGCGCAGCTGAGTGTATTGTACTTTGTTGAGGAATGGCTTGGGGTATCATTCATGTGCCAGTCTTTTAAGGGGGCAGAGAAATCAGAGAAAATCCATTAGTCTATGTAGACTTGATTTCTAGTGCATTATGTCTGGTTGCTTTTACACTAGCCATTTAGTCTGGAATGGAAATCATTTGTTCACTCTGCTCTGACACAGAATCCAGATGGTAGTGCTGACGTTCTGTTCCATTCCCATGGTTTCCATGTTGTCCTCCAATGATATCTCATTGGGGTATGCAAATCACCTACAACCCACTTCAAATTTGTGATCGCATGCATCAACCCTATTCAGTTCAAATGTGCAATTTGATTCAAAGAGGTGAGTTGATTTGATCAGGCAGTTCAAATCAGCAAATTGCTTCAGTTCAAATGTTCAGTTTAATAAAAGTGAGCACACAATAGCATAAACCCTCCAATTCTTTGAACTGATTCAAAAACATCAGTTCAGTTTGGCCCAATGAACTAATTTGGCCCAACGAGCTGATTTGGTGGTTTGATTCAAAGGAGAGCTTTGATTCAAATGCCTTTCAAGGGGAGTTTTGAATCAAAACTTGATATAACTCTCGACACCAGGGGAATTAGCACTGGGTGGAAGAGGCCAGGGCCTCTTCAGTCCTAACTGAGAAGCTTCCTCTTTAAATCAGCTGTTTCCTTACCCGATTCAGCATTACCAACTGGCTTTTAATTACCTATTTTCTATTCCCTGCTGGCAGATTCTGTAGTAACTCGTTTACTTTTTTCAGCATGAGAAATTGCTTGTCCCCTTTCATTATTTATTGGTCATCATTTATGATTGCAACTCTGTGATTCATTACAAATATCTCAGCAGAAGCATAACTTTTGCACTCAAGATATTTATGCTAGGGTGAGCAATCCTGCATTGGTCCTTTTGAACCACCTCCTTTGTCTGTGTCCCCCGCAATATGTTCCAGGGCACTGGCTTAATAGCCTCATAGGCAGGTGAAGATCGTGTACCCTTCCCATTAATGAACAAATCCCCCCTTCTCTCTCCCCCAGACCTACTTTTTTGTAGGAGAGGAGGGCTCCATTTGTACCTACTTATGAGCTACTTGTCTGTAGTGGGTAGAATCGAGAACAAGGTCCTTAGCTCTTAGATTCAAAAGAGTCATGGCATTATTCATACAATTAGCAGTTGGGCTAGTTGATCAGTAAATAATAATTATCAAGTGCCAGCGGTTAGATGCCTTTTTAAAGATCTGGTTCATCCTTGGATGGGAGATCATGCAAAAATTACAAAGCAGCAGGCTAGACTGGAAGGCGGAAAAAACTCTTCTGCGGTGTTGCCAAGAAAAGTCATGGAAATGACCATTAAATTCCAACAGTTGCATTCAACTGGCGGAAATCTTTATCTCATTTGTGACCCTGTTCAGACCATGACTGTATGGATGAAACCACTGATATCACAAGTATATTGGTCTTTCTTGCTTGGCAGGTGGATTTTGGCAGCATTATTGACAGTAGCAAGGATTTCTTTGGAGATGGAAACGCAGGGAGAAACTAATAGAGCTCATTTAAAAGCTTCTAGCACCCTTTGTTTTGAAATGCCTTTGAATCCAAGCTCAGCATTACATACTAAAATTATCTTTCAGTATGTAATGTGTCTCCACCTTGCTCAACGGTTCTTAATTTCTTATTCATTTGATTTCACTTTTATTTTGTCATAACTGTGTTTGAAAAAGAAATTACCAGCTTGCTATCAGAAAATAGGGAAAATGACTCATTAAAGCTTTGATCCCATATACCCCACTGAACACAGCAAGCCTTCTGAACAAGCACGCAGAGGATGGGTTGATTTGTAGAAAACCACTGCAGATTTGTGTATGTGAATTGCAGGTACAATGTTCATGATCTTGTTAGGGTTTGTCTGAAACACATTTTTTTCCTGCACATTAGTCACCCTCAGGGAGAAATCTTCAAAAGGGCAACAATTTAAAACAAATGAAGTGAACAAAAGCCACTTATTAAACAACAGCAGTTTATAGGAAGGACACACAAATAACACAGCACAGATTCAAACAGATTCTGTTAGAAAGTCAAGACAAAACAGAGACACGTCACATTTCTTTCATGGGGCTAATGCATATCAAAAGAGCTGAACTTAAAATGCTTGGGAAATGTTTGTTTGTTTATCTTTTAAATACTTCACCTGGTGGTAGAAAAATAAGACAGTGACAGTAATGTAGGTGAATGTTGGTTAGAATTTCTGGGAATGCTAGCTGGGAATTTGGAAAGTTGATGCTGAACATACCTGGAGAACATCAAGCTGGGGAAGACTGGTATAGGCCTGCCAGGATCATGGCCCACTAGTCTTTGTTTAAAAAAATAAAATCTAAGGGTTGGCCCACCAGACCTTCTTTTGGAAAAACTAACCTGAATAGGTTCTAGTGTATTGCTTCATCAAAAACTTCAACTCCCCAAAAGCACCCCCAAGGCATTGGCAGTGCCCAGCCCCTGGTCTCATCCAGTGCGGTCACTGCATCGCTACCCTCAACTGCAACAGAGGAGGTCTGTTCCTTCCAGTGCTGAGCCTCATAAACCAATGGGCTATCTCAGTGTGAGGCAGCCCTCAATCCTACAAGCTGTGCAAGGCTGAGCAACATATGGCATAAAGGTCAGGCAGCAAACCTGCTAAAGTTTCCTCGCCTTGCTTGGCAAGTACAAACCGATGCTACAAAACAAGCCTGTTGGAGAAAAGGAAACCTCCAGTCTTGGCATTTGGCTAATTGAGGTACAGATTCATTTTCCCTTCTGCCAAAGCATCCTGGCTGCCAGGATCAATGCTCTTAAGATAAACCTGGAATTAATTTCTGTCCCTGAGCTCCAATCCAGCTGGCATGAGGGAAGGGTCATTCCAGCAAGCCAACCCCTCTGTTTGTTCCTGCCAGCTCATCTCTCCTGTGAGGGGTTCTTCCATTTCTGTTTTCTTACTTTCATCCACCTTCTCCTCCTTACTAAAGACTGCAACCTTAGCTCATTTTCTACACCAGAATAGGGGGACGTCTGGGCCTCCAGATGTGGCTAAACTAAAGTTCGCAACAGCCTCAGTCAGAATCATCAGTGGTGAAGAACGGTGCTAGGAGCTACAGTTGAGCAAAATGGGAAGACCTACTTCCAAGAAATAATTTTATCTCCTGATAGCAGGATGCTTCAGCATGGTTGGAGCATCTTAAAATGGAAGGAAGTCGAGACATGAATTGGCCTTATTCCTGAGAAAGTTAGGTGGCATTCAAGGTTCCTACTCTATTCTTATACCTACTTACCTTGGAATACATCCCATACAACTCAGTGAGGCTTATTTCTGAGAAAACATATATAGGATTGTACTGTCCTATCATTCCAGGAGCATCTACAAGGAGGGAGTCCAAAAAATCAAAGTGTGGCCACAACCGTTCAATCAAAGCCCCAGCCCTTTTCACATGCGTAAAATGGTTGTGGTTTCACCTTCACTTTTTGATACACACATAACACCCACCTTATCTATGGACACTCCTGTACCATTTACATTTATCATTTACTCTGTTTCTGCCCATCACCCCAGAAACCAGCTAGAATAGGTCTTATTGCCCTCCATGAAAGGCAAATTATGTTACCATAAAGCAGTGTTTCTCAACCTTGGCAGCTTGAAGATGTGCAGACTTCAACTCCCAGAATTCATGGCTGGCCAGGGAATTCTGGGAGTTGAAGTCCACACATCTTCAAGCTGCCAAGGTTGAGAAACACTGCTATAAAGACTTGTTTGTATCCCATGCTTGGAATTCATCACACCTTTTTCCACTGAGAAAGCAGGCATAGATAGGAGGCCTTGATATGGACTAGGACAACAGGAACAGGAGGAGGATTTAACCATCCTTGAAGCCCATTTCACTTCCTACTGAAAATCTCCCTTTCCCTACAGCTGTTATTTTAAGAAAATAGTAGTCCAGGGTTCAAACAGAACCTGGGGGGCAGGGGAGGGAGATCAAATTACAATATTTCTATGCCATTGTAATATTGACAATGGCGTTCTGCAGCTTTGGACCCACAGGGCAGCACCTGTTTGATTGCAATGCTTGTTCTGTGTCCCTCCATCATTGCCCAGCTCCCACTTCTGCAAAAGCAGAACATTAGAGATGTCTGCCACATTCTCCCTGTACTGATGGCCATAATCAGTAGCGGGCAGGACATTTGCTGGGTGATCCCGGTTCCCACACAACCCCTTCTTTCCTTTTGGGCCAGCATTGGCCTGGTATGCTGGGTGAACATACCCTCCCATGACACAAGACTGGCCTCTCCATTCTTTAACATAGGATGGGCAGCTTCTGGATGGCCCAAGATCGCCCTTCACATTTTTTGGCAGTGATACAAATGCATAGGGATGTTTTTCCCCTGGGGGGTGAGGGTCCTTTGTATTTTAGCCCATATTAAACTCCACGACAGTGTCATTTCATGATGTTTCCTTTCTTAAAACATGGCTTGGTTTAGATGAGACACTAGCAGCAGAGGCAGAGCTAGTCTGGACCTTCTGGATGTCCACATTTGGCCAAGATCAGGGATGCAAGACTGATCAGGCCCTCACTCTTAGGCACGTATCAGAATTGGTGGCAATGTGCTACCTCCAAGGGATTTGCAAAGTACTTGTCTCATTTTTCCTGTCTCCCCATGTGTGCTATCTTAGCTTATTCTATGATGCAGCCGTGTGTGGGTGTCTGTGTGTGAGTGTATAATTGGGTGTGCGTCTGTCTGAATAGGAATTTGTCAGAGTGAGGGAAGGAAGACCAACCCTCCCCCTTTTAACTCTTTAATTCTTCTTTCTGTAATTGTAGGGATACTCAGTGAATACTGGGCATTTTGGGAATGTCATTATTAAAATGGTCAGCATTTTCTTCTATTTTTGTTGTGGCTTCTGTGAATGAGCATTTATTTAACATTTTAGTAAAATAATTTTTAATAATTTTTAATTGTTTTAATTTTAAAATTTTTTAATTGTGAGCCGCCCAGAGTCACCTGTTGGGGGAGATGGGCAGCATACAAATCAATTAATTAATTAATTAACTAACTAACTAACTAAATAAATAAATAAATAAAATTTAGACCCAAAGGAAGTAAACAGGTTAAAGAAGCACAACCACATGACTTTAAACCCAACAGCATGTTAGCTGTAGTCTTGAGGTGACTTGATTTCTTTGTTAAATAATTTTAAATAATTTAAATTATAATTTATACAATTATAATTTGTACTATTATAATTACTAGACTATTTAAAAATGTTTTTTAAAATTATTTAGTAATGAAAATACTGCTCATGACTCTGCAGCATTTTTCAAGTTGACTTTTATTACATCTAGTCTATGCTTAA